GATGGATGGATGGATGGATGGATGGATGGATGGATGGATGGATGGATGGATGGATGGATGGATGGATGGACAGATGGATGGATGAATAAAACAGAACATTTGGATTACTTTGTTTCTTTGCTTGGTGCAGTAATTAGTCATTATTATTGACAGACTGTTCAATGTTTATCAGTTAAGTTGCTTTTATCTACAATATAAYACTTCTGTTTTTGCACAGATTAAACATAAACTGTTTTAAAACAGGTTTTCCATTTTCTATAAAGTTGGACCCAGTCTGGATTTTTCATGTAAATATTAAAAACGCCACAAAAAACCATATTCATATGAATATATTTCTGATATTCTTTCTAATGCACTTCTTTAAATCCTCTTTAACTGTCATGTTAAGACAACACAGTACATGGTTTCTATGTTTTTCCACTACATCCTGGTACAATAAGTRTCTGACTCTTTTTCACCAACCTGCTCTGGAGCGTTGATGACTCCTGTGTTGAAACCAAACTGCAGCGAGCCAATCACAGCCGTGCCCAAGGAGAACAGGAGATAACCCGTTACTTGTTTTCCCTGAAGGACGAAGGGAAAATAGATGTTTAAATGGGCTCTGAGGCACATATAACAAATCTCAAATCTGAGCTGCTGSTGATATTTTAAATCACAGAGGCAGGCAGGTGTAATAAACTGTGATGCTGCCGGCAGGAAGGTCAGTGACACAAATATGAACAATTATATGAGGGAACTGAAACATTTAGAAGCATTTTCATCATACGCTCACATAAAACAATGTTTGGAGAAAATTCTGAGGCCTTCCAACGKCAAAACCCACAAATCCAGAGTAGCATCTTTATGATGGATAGATTTTATGAGTCTGATCTTCCTGGAGGTAATTGGCTAAAAGCAAATTCAATTCTGAATCTTTCCACCTGCATCGAGCCTGTTTCAYAACGATCCCATCAATTTATCTATGAGATGTCAGATGTCTGATCATCTGATTATAAACAAGCCTCAGTAAAATTGTATAAATGTGGTTTTTTTTTTTTTTTTTTTGTTTTTCTGATGTGACATAAGTTTCTGCTGGACTGGAGATGTTTGTCTGCAGCCACACATCATTTGTAGATAAAGTGTCTGACAAAGTAAAAGTTTTTGTTCTTTTTTAAGCGGTATGGCATCAACTGGATGCTTCGCTCAGATCGCCAGCATGTCCTCGCTTTGACTGATGTAACGATGAATCTGCTACAAAAAAGAATTACAGGCTCTGGTAACCAGCMGATGTTTTATGTCTCTATTGCACATTTCACAGATTTGCCTTCTTATACTAACAAATAATTTGACTTTATAGTTCAGAAAACGTCATAGAAAACAGAAAAAAATGCAAAAACGGCTAAAAGARTAGATTTTGCATGACATATACCCTTTGGGGGATAACTAATCCCACCTTAAAAACCAGGTTTCCAGGAAAATTAACACATGCATCAGTCATGTGACCACTCAATTAAAATTATTCATTAAATTGTGACCACTTCATTAAATCGTGACCACTTTCAAACCAAACGCATCAGAACGTTAAACTGACGTATCATTTTTCGTCCGTTCAGGATGCTGAGGCGAGGAGGATTTATGATAACATTACAAACCTTCATTCATCATCAAATAACTGACTGTAGACATTTTCTTACAAGTCTCAGATCAATAAAGGTYGCGCTTATTAAACTTCTCTTCAGTTATGTTGCTTTTAATAATTTATCCACCTAATAGGAGTCACACCCAGCAGAGCCACAACCRTGGATATGAGACCATCGAGTTATTGTCTCTGCTGACGTCAGGTGTTCGGCACACACCCAGCAACTCGGTGCTGACGGGGCAGAAACGGCTGCCGCTATATGAGACGGCAGAGGACCTCAGGTGATCTGTTGCCCTTGGTGTTAAGAGCAATATTTGAAGGAGGATAAACCCAAACTYAGACCTGCAGGAGGAGCAGGACAGAGGAACCAAGTTTAAAGTGGAAGAATAGGGTGTTTATTGTCTGAAAAGATCCTTTTCTAGTTTAAAAAATAAGCTTCACTGGCAGATTTAAAGCAGGAACGATACTGAGTGTAATGATTGTTGTGGCGCATGTGTGTTTGTGTGTGTCCTCAGGGAAGGATTGTATATCAGTTACTCTCTGATGTCATCTTTCATGTTTGTTTTGAAAAAAATCTCCTCGACCAAGACGGTAAAAAAAATCCTTCCCTCTTTGTTTAAAAACATTTTGTCACATTTTTCAAGTGTTAAATTGATTTTAATGATTTTTTTAATGATCTTCCTCTATTTATTTAAATCCTGATAAGATTCCTGAGGATCTAGGAGACATTTTGAGAGCAATCAATAATCCTGTCCACAGTGCGTTCGCAGTGGGTGTGTCCCCACAGACAGATTCACTGAGGGCTGCAAGATTCGGTCAAATATATTGTTGACTTGAACAATATTACTCGTTTTATTCTGAATTACAGAATCTGAAATCCTCCACATTATTTTAACGAACAGATGCACTGAGGAGAGAGAGGAGTGACACAACCACACAGACTCACACCATCATGCAGCTTCCAGTGTTTCTCTCAGTAAAACACACAACTAATAATAACTGCTGCTTTGTAACTTTGTGCATTTAATAAAAAAATGTAACAATTAAAAGAGGATTAAACATTTTTCTTAATTCCATCAGTGAATTCTCTTGTTTCACCCAGCTTCATCAAGCCAGACTTTTATTTTGTAAAATGTCACAAATAAATAAATAAAACTCAAATAATTAATAAAACGTGTGTTCATAGTGCAAACAGAATCAGTGTTCAGAGATTTCATTATGTCACAGCATCACTATAGTGATAATCTGCCTGTTGCAGAGGGCAGATTAGCTGAACAGATGATATATTGCTATGACAACTAGCGTTGCAAAAAATATCACAATCTGAATGCACACAAATGCATGCTGGGTTTTAGCTGTAGCACAAGTTTCTCTAAAAAGCAATGTTAAAAATAAAGTTCAGCAGCTATTTTATTAATTTGTTTTAATTTTGAACACACTTACACGCACACCTACTATGTCTCTCTATCCTTGTGGGGACTTTCCATTGACGTCCATTCATTTTTTGGAAATTTTATCAACTAACCCTGACTAAAACTAACCTAAACCTGAATTTCCCCTCTGCGGGAAAATAAAGGCTATTCTATTCTATTCTAT